GCAACTAAATGGAACCCCAGACAGTCATGTAGTAACCTATGAGAAGAACAGCGATCCGACGACTTTGAAAATCGTGCAATGTGTTTCTGGCATTAATTGTTGTACACTGCCAAAAACATAACATGCATGAATGTAATGACAATGACAAAGTGGTTCTGGTTCTTCATCAAATCTTAAAACCAAACTTATAAAAGCATTATTCCTTTTTTTTTTCCTATTCCTTCTGGAAATGCAAATCTTGTCTATCGTTTTCAAATCTGATGAGCTGATTAGAGTGAAGCTGAATCACTATGCACAACTTGCAGCACAAGCACACACGCCAATACTGGTCAGCGTAGCACCTCATTGCAGGCTCGGTCTCACAGCTGTGGTTTGAGCGAGCGTCCACAAACCATCCCCTTCACTGTGTTCAACAAACACACAATGTTTCATTAGCTCGTGGCTTGGCCTAACAGTCTGTTTGTTTTACTCTGTGGTAAACGTACACGCACCTCGCTGTCACGCTCTGAGCCCAGATTCCAAGCTCATAAAAAGGCAGAGCAGATGAAAGAAAGGGATGAACAGGATGTGGTTAGCCTACATGAAAACTCACACACTCTTTTAACTTGGAGAAAGGTTCTGAGGAGAGAAAAAAGAAACCACAATGAGCGTGGGGTTAGTTGTACAAAACGCAAGGTGCGCTAGACTGCACATACTCTCATGCTACTGTTGAGATTTTAATGATATGCATTCTGTGGATCCAAAATTATTTAAAGGGTAACTAAACCCTAAAACAACTTTTTTTAGTTAATGATCTGTAAGACTGGGGCTTTATTAATGCTGTTCATTGATTCAAGTAATTTTTTTGACATTTGGGTATAAAGTGTTTTAATTCTACAATATATGGTGTAAAAACCTCTTGAGTGCTGCCTTCTTCAGGTTGAACGGTGGCTACTGCAGTTTAATTTTCCTATTGGAAGTTGTGGTGCCCTGTGATGTAAGCAGGCACCAGCTCACCATGCCCTTGCCTACAGAGAGACACAGATACCCAAAGGGTATCTAAACCCCTGGTCAGAGCCTGACTCCACTCACTGGCAATATTTGAAAAATGCTGGGAAAGTGGGCAGCAGAGATAGAGTGGACGAAGCGAGGGCGGGGCTGAGCGGGGGGTCGTGCACCTGAGACCCGCAGTGACGGATTATTTGACAGCTGCTGTTAGACTCGCTAAAATTCTATATATATATATATAAAAAGATATTCAGCAAAACGCGCCGGCGCGTTTGTCGACACCAGACCAGAGGGTTAACATTAGCCTAATAGGAAGGAACATAAATTGTGATTAAAAATAGCTATATGCTCACTCACATCATGACGCCGCTGCGGTGGTGGAGTCCATGCGTTTGGCACTGCGTCGCTTTTCAGCGCGAGCTGTGTGGAGAAGCCCGTTCCCACCTCTATTGCGTTGGAGAAGCAATCGCGCGTAAAATGCAGTCTTTACAGGCCAAGTGCATGCAAACACTGGCGCCTAATTTCCAAGTCTAGTGGAAAGCTATGCAGTCCAGCAGTGCTGTTGCAACCAGCAACACTACACCTACGTACCATCCTGACCACTGTACTAAATACAGATAAATCTACGCTAACTTGAAGCTATCCTAACTGATGCAATACGATGCTACTAACAACTAACTATGCTTCTAACAATACTACACTAACAACTATGCTAATTAACTACCTAGGCTACACGAAATAATCTAAATAACTAAATGCTATGCTAAATAGATGCTAAAATATCGATAATCCTGATCGTTTTCAATACTCGCAATTCCAACTCCCGACTCGCTACAGTGGTTTTGACGAAACAAGATGGTTTTTATACTGCCAAGTACGGTGGCCCAGTAGTGCACAACACAACGAAATTTAAAAAGCAAACATAAGTTCACAACACAACGAAATGAAGCCACAACACAACGGAAATAAGCCACAACACAACGGAAAATGTACAACACAACGAAATAAAGCCGCAACACAACGGAAATTAGCCACAACACAACGAAAAATGTACAACACAACGGAAATAAGCCACAACACAACGGAAAATGTACAACACAACGAAATAAAGCCGCAACACAACGGAAATGCTCCTCACCAGAGGGCTCTCGGAGCGCGATAAAGTTAGTTTTCTTTGCCATTGTTATAGAGTTAGCAGTCTTAATATATCAATACCGTGATTAGTTTTAACAGTAACCATTGTAAATCGACATAAAATATACTTCAAAATCACCTACACAAGCGTCTCAGAGAATGCTTTGACGCGCTACCACGGCGCATGATCCCTAAGGGAACGTCTGGCAATTCCACCAAGTGGTTAAAACGTATAATTTATTATAATAAAATTTGATGAATAAAAATATAAAACATTTGGTGAATTGCAGAATTACAGGAAGGCATTGGCACAATTTCACCAGTAATAAGTCAGTCAGGTCACTAGGAACCTAACACAAGCTTTGGGACATTACAGTAGGCCTAATGTTTCTATAAAAAACAAATTGTGTACTGTGCATGCAGGGAGCTATTGACAAAATTTCACCTGTTTTAAGGTTAATAGGAACTACAACCTTTGAAACCTGATAAAAAAAAAAAAAACTTTTACAGAAATTTCCTAAAAAAATATTTGTTTACTGTAGGCTATATACATAAGGGAGGTATTGGACAAACAGTCAGCTGTAGTAAGTCAGTCTACTACCAATACAATCAAGCTTTGGATTTTGAACATGTATGTTTTTGAATGTTAAAAGTAATTTTAATTCATACAAATTATACGTTTAAACAACTTGAAGGAATTGGCAGATGTTCCCTTATGGGTTACGCTGTGGTAGCGCGTCAAAGCATTAGATTGTAAATATGCAGCTATAATGCACGTAGGTGATTTTGAATTAATAAATGTAGTTACAATGTTTAGCTATACTGTTCAAACTAATCGTGGTGTTGATATTTTTTAGACTGCTGAATGAGTGCTGACTCTATAGAACAGTGGCAAGGAAAACTAACTTTATCGCGCTCCGAGAACCCAGTGGTTGGGAGCATTTCCGTTGTGTTGCGGCTTTATTTCGTTGTGTTGTACATTTTCCGTTGTGTTGTAGCTTATTTCCGTTGTGTTGTACATTTTCCGTTGTGTTGTGGCTTAATTTCGTTGTGTTGTGAACTTATGTTTGCTTTTTAAATTTCGTTGTGTTGTGCACTACTGGGCCACCGTAGGCCAAGGGCGTGGTAGCTCCTACCAAGGGCGCGGTGAGCTGGAACCTGCTTACGTCAAACATCCAATAGGAAAATTCAACTGCAGTAGCCACCGTTCAACCTGAAGAGGGCAGCACTCAGACGTTTTTACTTTTTACACCATATATTGTAGAATTAAAACACTTTATACCCAAATGTCAAAAAAGTTACTCGAATCAATGAACAGCACTAATAAAGCCCCATTCCTACAGATCATTAACTAAAAAAAAGTTGGTTTAGTTACCCTTTAACGAGTTTGTTTGGCCATAAAATCTTTAAGATATTAGGTTAAACTTATTTGGCTTGCTGTCCACTGGAGAGGGGCTCGATGAAGCAGCTTCAACTCGAGCTCTGAAAAAACTGAAATAAAATGCAAAAAAAATAAATAAATACCTGCAAAGGCAACATTTCTCATTTTCATGTAGTTTAACTTGATGTAGGCTACTAAAATAACTAAAAATGAAATAAAAATTAATAAAAGCTATAGAGACAAAGCTACATATAAATCTAATAAAAAGGAAAATAAATGAATGGAAAAACTAAAAAAAACGAACTATTAATAAAAACTACAATAGCATCTCAATTATACTTAAATGTTTTAATTTAAACTACTCAAAAAAACATTTTAGGTCTTAAGTTGTTAAATTATCAGTTCACTAATTAAAGTTCACATTTCGGGGTTTCTGTTTTGAAAAATAATAATAAACAAAAATAAATGATAGAAAAACTAATACAATCATCCAAGATTGTGATTTAATACATCCACAAAGCATGAAAAATGTATTTTGTTTGCACATGACACATGCTTTGATATTGAGTTATCTATTGCAATGACATTTAGACATTTAAAAATGTGACTACAAGTGGGATTTAGAAAACTAATAGGAGACCCATATGATTAAGTGAAAGGAAATATGTATCTGACCTTTTGTCTGGAAAAGAAGGTATGGCCTGTATAAGTAGCCAAAGAGACAATACAATGTGTCAATGACATCAGAGGGGAAGTAGGTCTGTACAGTTGTGAGCATAGCGTTTAGTCTCACTAGATCTCTCCGTTTCTCACAATAATTCATTCTTCCACTGGTTACCCACAAAATGATGGTCCATCAGACTGTGCGGGGGTTCTTTGAACCCCAAGTGTGAAGATTCCCAGCATGTCTGAATCACACCAGTGGTCGCACTCATGTCCTTCATGCTGCACGCAACCCCCCCCCCCCCCCCCCCCCCCCCCCCAACACTTCTTAGTCACTTCATTATCAGGCTATTGTTATTAGCATTGCTCAAGCATTTTTGAACTATCAATGGTATTTGATATTGCTAATAGGTAGAGCTGAAACTTAGAGCTGAAACAAAGTCCTTGACATAGACTTTGATTTTTCTAGCGGTATTAGTAATAATCTGCAACAATTGTTAATACTTACATTTTAAGTTAGCAAGATGTGCAGCTGTTTAACTGACTAGCACAACTGCAACAACAACAAAAGCAACAACAACACAGTCACCACAAGGGGAATTTTTTGTCTTATTACCTCATCTACAGCCCCAATGACAGGAACATTATAGAGTTTTAGGTTCAGCTGTGTGGCACCTGTAACCAAACTGGTCTCTAGCAGGTAAAGGTCAAGAATTTCAACAGAAATTGCTTTGCGATGACACTCATATCCTCTTGCAGATCTGACTGTAATCTGACACACAAATGAACCAACAAGACCACCTGCAAAGGAAATAACTCTGCTCTTTCATTATAGGTAAAGCTCCTGTTGACAGCATGACTGAGAAGTGGGACTAACATCTGACTAACTCCAGACACCACACAGAGAGAGAGAGCAGGTGCATCTTGCGTGAAACCAATCAGAAAAGTCATACCCTGTGAAAATGGAGTCCGCATTCTCACGGATGAGATGGGAAACTGATGGAGAGGCCGAAGAGATCTCCTTGAGAGGTCTGGGATTGCGTCGCAAACGGGAGTTCATACCCGAGGACAGGAAAGACGCGACTTACTGGGAGAAACGCCGCAAGAACAACGAAGCGGCGAAGCGCTCGCGAGAGAAACGAAGGGTCAATGACTATGTATTGGAGACTCGTTTGGTTTCATTGAGCGAGGAAAATGCTCGTCTACGATCTGAGCTGCTGGCTCTAAAGCTTCGGTACGGTTTGCTCAACTCTGGAGCCACCTACTCCTCGTCTCAAAGAGCTCTATCTCATCTTCACTCTTTGGCCCCGCAACCTCTGGTTTCTTACCCAGACAAAGATCTCTACTGGGGAAGAAGGCAAGACAGAGAGGCTTCCAATCTATCTGGGAACCAACAAGCACCCATCTGTCTGGGTACCCACCCCGGGTCGGCATTCCTTCCCACGCAGCCTATGGCCATGCGAAGAAATCACCCATACTTCCTAGACTTCCCCACCCTCCATTCCCCTTCAGCCACACCTTTACTCTTTCCACCACACCTCGCCTCAGCAACAGCACCTTGGGCAGGACGGCCCCTGCTCCAACCAGGGAGTCAGAGGATCTTGTCGGATGACGAGGGTGAGCAGCAAGTGCCGGCGGATTCCAGCACTGCCCTTCCCCATAAACTAAGACTGAAGTCTCAAAACTCACAGCGCAAAGACAATAGAGCTAAATCTGCATCTCCTATTCCAGCATACATGTCAGATTGAAACCAAACTCTAGGCTAAAATGGCTCAGTAGTTATGAATCATCCTACACATTTGTGTTAAACAACCTTGGCTATATTCCAGTAAGTTTGTTGTTAACCATTTGATAAAAAAAACTTCTTTGATCAAAAGGTCACACATACTGATATAGTTTCCGAAATATATTTTGAAGAGTCAATATTTCCATCATTGAGGTGGAAAGTGGCAAACTTGAATTGGGATAATGACCTTTTTTTTCTTCTTTTTTTTGGTGCTTGAAATGTTCACCCTTTTTTTTACTTTTTAGTACAGACAGGAAAGTAGAGAAGAGAAGGAGAATATGACCAAGATTTGACCTAGGTCAGACTTAAACAGGAGTCCTTTTGAGCCTACAGCTCTGATGTCATTTTCAACATTTTCGCATTTGGCAGATTTTTTAAGTTACTTACATTGCATTAAAAATATGCATTTTATCATTTCATGCACTCCCTGGGAATCGCACTAATGAACTTTGCATTGCTTGCTAGTGCATTCTACTGTTTGAGCTACAGAAACTTTGTAATGTTTATTTTTGAGGCCCTTAAAGCAGCACTTAACACTGCATGGGGGAAAACCAGAAAAACAAATTGGTCATCTGTGACCAAAACAATTGTTAGCTTGCTACTCAAATTTAAAGCTGTCAACACACAATATGTAGCCTGTATTTTTGTTAAACATATATATTTTTTAACGTGTTCTTTTTGAAGTTTAAAGGAGACCTATTATGCCACTTTTTACAAGATGAAATATAAGTCTCAGTTGTCCCCATGCAAAATGTGTCTGTAAAGTTTCAGCTCAAAATACCCCACATATTATTTATTATATCATAAATTTTACCATATTGCAAAAACTTGCAGTTTTCGTTTATGTATCTTTAAAGTCCCCATGAATTCAAAATTGACCATACTTTGTTTGCCTAAATTGATCGTTTTGTGGTGAACAATTCATCCATGCAAGTCAATCCACACAAAAAAATCTTTTTGGCTTCGTAATCTTTAATCAAAATCTGAAATTTCACCTACCCTCTGCGTTGGAGGACCTTCCCTGATGACGTAGGTTTCACGGTTTGGGTGTCTGCTTAACATCCGTAACCACGCCCCTCCAACTGACAGTAGACAGGCTGAATGAAAACACCTACTTTTCTAGATCCAATCAGGTGCTAGTTGGGAAAAAAGCCACGCCCACTATTTTGCCTCATTTAGTATTCCGTTTCTCTCGGAAATACGTCACAACACTGGAGAAAAGTCGTTTGCAACTTCCGGTTCACGGGGACTTTAAATACAAATGAGCTGCTGCTCCCTGCCCCCCTATCCAGAAGAGGGCGGAGCCTTTTCAGCTCGTGCATCCAATACTCTGCCAAAAAGTAACGAAACATCTGTTTGGTTTTGATTGTCATCTCTTTCGCGCTCATGTTCATGTGACATTGCAGTTCTTCGTCATCATGAAAGTTATTATTTGGATGCGTTTTAAAGCCATATCCGTTTAAACTTCTGATATATGGTTTTCTGACCGCACACATCCACAGAAAGCTGGCTGTCAGACGGCGCGTCGTGTGAGTATTAAATTAAGTTCTCTTTTATGTCTTATTGCGCTTAAACTGTCAAATACACACAAGGATAAATTAAAAACACACAAAGTTCACATGAATAGTGGTTATGTCTGAGTTGCCTACTTAAACAGCTGGGAAAGAAATCGCATGTGTATATTACATCTTTGTATTAAAGTGACAGCAGCGTAATATACAGTACCTACTGCTGTATATGCTGTTAATATGAATCAAACAACAAAAGAAAAACAGAAAATCCTTCACTGCTCTTGAATGAAAAACTTTAGTAGCTTTAATAAGAATACATTTCTTACTTGAATGCTACTGTTAAATGCTCTGAGGAGAATAAACATGGCGGACTGTGTACAGCTCACTCAAGGGGAGGAGCTAAGCTAATAGGGCAGATAATATTTCAGTTGTGGCCTATACTAATGTGACGTCACATTGGAGCACATTCCTGAACGGCTCATTTTGAGACACTGTTTCTGCTTTAAGGGGAAATAACAAATGGAGTGGATGGATTTTCCCCTCCCCCCCACAATAGGGTGGTTTTGTACACACACTGCAGACATATTATGTTCAAAAACAATATCAAAGTGAATTTTGCATAATAGGGTCCCATTCAAACTGCATATTAATCAGTGTTATACATGAACATAAAGTGCCTTTTCACCTTCTGTAGACTAGCCTTAATTAATTTAATTTAATGTAATTTTTATTGCATAAAACATTATCTATAGTTTTTGAAAGACTTGGAACTACAGCCCTGATCTTTGATAATGCTGTAACTCTTTTGTTCAATTTATAGAATATAATTTCAGACTAATGCATGATCAATGTCATCTTTTAGAGACAAATGTCTCAATTATGGACTGACTGACCAACTTCCACATCTCAGACATTTTGTTTCTGTGAACTTTGGGCAAAATGGCTTCTTATTCCATACTTTTAAAATTGGTTTCTTCCTGCCTCCACATACCTCCAGTTTGTACAGTTTGACAAAAGTGTGCCTATGTTAACTGCATTAGCAATGTTAGCAACAACAGTGGATGACAAACCATTAGCTGTGATGCTAATTAACAAGGAGGATATCTAAAACTTCTCGAAAGCTCATTTTCATTTAGAAATACAGTTTCTGAATGTAAAACACTTTTGCTTGCCTATCATTTTAGGTTCCCAACTCAATAATGAAATATTGAATGTATAAACAAAGATGTACAGTAAAAATAATGATTTGCCTTTAACATCAGGTCATTGATATTTTTTCACAATCTTAACGGATTACTACAGGCAAAATTTACAAGTAGTGATAAAAAAAAACACCTTGAAGTTATTTACATTTGCATTCCTGCATTTAGCATACAGTTTATATCCACAATTTACATTCAAGGTACACTGTTTGCCAGTATAATAATTTTTCATTGAACCCCTGCTGTTGTAGCCTATGCTAAAGTGAGGTATAGTTAAAATATTTTTAACACATTTTTACAAAGATTAATTTATATATTATACATTTTGTCATGTTGCATTAAGCTGTACGATCTTCAGTTTTTTCCCCTTTTTTACAATAAAGTTCAAATGAAAATCTCAGCTTGTTGACCATTTATTTAATATAAGCATCATAGCAGAGTTCACTCATTGCACTGAACAGAGAATAATTGATCATAATACAGAGTGAGAATGACTCTCTTTTTTTCCTCATGCTCTTACGACTGCGAGTTGTGCTGCTTGCTTCTGGTGACAGGCTGAAGGACTCCACATGGGCTGCTGCGGTTTATGAGTGTGAAAGGGGGGCTGAAAACTAAGTTTCAGTGGCATGTAAGGGTGGGAAAGGTGGAGAGGGGGTTTCTCAGCACTAATGAGTCACCTTTAATGATCAATCGTGATGTCTACAGAATATACACCGCAAACACACTGCACAAGGCGAGGAGAGCGAGCAACAGTCCACGACTTACCACTAAAGCAAACTAGTGATTCAGTGACTTGCATAACAAGCCTGGCACAAAGTAATCTGACATAACTATGACCTTTTTTTAATAAACCAACGTAGTTTTTATAAACTGGATTAGCATAGGCCTACATTTGGCTCTGTCTTCACAGTTAAATGTTTTTCATTTGTTCTTTTTTTCCGCTGTAACCACCTGAGAGATGAAGGGCGAGAAGTACAATGAAGAAATAGGAAGTTAAAAGTATATTGTCTTTTACATCTGTAAACCACATCATCCTCTAGTGAAAATTAACTCAAGTGTTGCAAGAGTACAAGATCTAGTTGTTTTTGTGTATTTATCATTGTTGAAAATCTATTTTAGACAGATCTTTGACCCAATAGTAGCATACCTCCTACAAATGGTGCTAGCATAAGCTACAAGCTAGACTCGCTAATCTTAACAAACTACATGGGACAGCTTTATAGTTTTGAATTTTGACCAGATCTACTCTATCATCTCTTTTCTGTCATTCACCAAAGACATAAAAAAAAACACATTGTCATTGTCATATTTTAAATTTGAGTCACATAAGCACACTCTTTGTGCAATGACATCATAGGTCACATCAAATGTATTGCATATGAATATTCCAGACACAACTACTAGACATTTTGTAGGCATAATAATGATTCGGTGATTCCATAACAAATCCATCAATAGCACAATACAAATGTGCAGGACACTCGATGAATATAAAAAACTGAACCACAATGGAAGAAGACCCGAATTATCTGTTTTTTGTACAGAGTGCTAATCTCTATAATGGGTAAATGCATATTAATATTGCATTGACAGTACTTGATCTTTGGTGTGAAAGTGAAACATGACACTTCTCTTTTTTTCAATTTATTCATAGACTGTCAAGTACAAAATTCCTGGCCACACACAACTAAATCTACGACATCATCAAGACATCAATCACTCTCATTTTGTATTAGGTTTACATTTCTTTACTTTAGATATAAAATAAGAGGGTTGTCGTGTGAGAATCCCAACCAGTGTGATATTAATACATTTTTTTAAAGGTCAAATGGTCATACCTTTTACTTATGTTTTGAATGTTTTTTTTATATTATTATTTGCTTTCATGTCTGTGCTTTTTTAAATCCTGCAGTAAACAACTTTGTTTTGTGTAGTTTTGTTTTAGATAGCAGATGGTACAGTAGGAAAGTGTCATGACAAGAAAATAACTGACATTTTCTTGTGCACACATGAGATGACTATGCCAGATGCTTATTTATGCACTGTAAAAAAAATTCCAGTGCTCACTTGTCTTTTCATTTCATTCAAAGTTTGTAGGACCGAATGGAAGTATGCTGACAAGCGGCTGTCCTTGTTGAAACTTTCTAGGCAAAATAGTCACTTTTTAGAGAATCAGGGCTGATGGTTTGTAAGCTGGTTCTTACTGATATAAACCTGAAGACAAATAATGTTAAACTGACATTATTTGGCCCAATTGCATGGCTATTCCCCTCTGATTGGGTTTTATTGTCCTGTTTTTAAAAATAAAAGCATCAAACATTAGTTTAGCCTATGTTGGTTTTATCAAAAGTGCCGTGAAATGTTTATTTTGAACCTCCTCTTCGCATCTGAAAAAATATAAATAAGTTGAGTCCTTTGTAAAAAAAAAAAAGAAAAAAAAAGAAGAAAGATTGATTTATAGCCTTGCTTATGAAATAGTAGACATGAAGAATCAGAAAAAGAAGAAATTACAACACACGGACTTAGATACATGCTTTTATAAACAGCATATTTCTTATTAGTACAATATAAGAACAATATTCTTAACATATTTAAGAATAAAAACATTTAGAACATAAAAATGTTGTGGATCCCCATTTATTTTACATTAAAACAAAACTGTAAAATGACTTTTTTTACAAAAAATATTTAAAAAAGCTTAGTTTAATAAGTTTTACAGTAGTTGATGACAAATTATGGCGGTTTTGCAATGTACAATGCTGCTTAAAATAAGACAGAGCGTATTTGATCTGCTCAAACAGATCTGATGATCGAATTCTTCTAAGCTTAGATTGACCAATAGAAGGCAATAAGGTTGAGCCTGATACCCTGTGTTCTTTAAACGGACATAATTTAACATTAGGGGGCAGCAGAACAGCTTTGTAAAGTGCCTTCCTGTTTCATTTTAAGCGGCAGCACTTGAGCAGGGAAAATGTTGTGTCCAACGCCTCAAAAATACCATTTATAAACAGACAATATAAGCATAAGAACTCCATGATGGATCAAAGGATCAGTGACTTATACAGAAAAAGCTATCTTTGATTGTATTGTTTCCCACTTTGTACTCATGCAAAATAACATGAAACAATTCATGAGATTGACATTCCCTTTTACACACTTTACATAGAAGAGGCATATAGACAACGTATATCGTCACCACCAGTAATAAAATGCTCAGATTTCTTTTAAAGAGTTTTTCACACATCATCTTTGATTCATTTAAGAACATGTTATATTGAATAAAAGTATTTCACATTAATTTGACAATGAAAACAGGGCACCAAAATGTACACACAAAACATCAATATATACAATAAGATACAAAATGTCTTCAACCCAGTGTAGATACTGAGGCTATTGGTGTTTAGCTGATAAATATGTAATGCTTTATAAATACAATGTGCTTTTTATTTTGTAACTACAGTACCTTTGTATGTGTGTGTGCGCGTGTTTAACTTTATGCGGCATGACTCAGAAGTAGGTGGCAGTGTAATATAGAAGCAGTCGTTATCAGGCCTCATTATCCAGAGCAAATAAAATCAACTAAGTAAGATTTAATTAAACCGTTTTAATTCTTTAAACAGTCTTCTAGCAACCCTGTGGTTAACAGGTTAAGATTTGAAGCTATTTCAACAACAAATCCTTGTTTCATTGGCAGTGTGAAATATATGCTCATGCCTACAGACCATTGGACACTTAAATTGAATTGCTTAGGCAAAATGCAATAATGTACCTTTTTTTTGTAACTTTGGAGGGACTTGGCAATTTCTTGGCAAGCAGAAAGCACCCATTTAATAATCATAACTATTACTAAATTAAAAATATTACTAAATCCCACAATAACCTCCGAAATATTAAGAGCACACAAACTCTCTTTTCATTCTGTAGGAAATACATTTTTTTTAATAGTCATTACACATTACTACAAGCTTGGCCTTCTCACATGAAAAAAGTTCAAAATGAGTCCTAATGCCAGCCAACCCCACACAGATGCAATTCATCATAAATGTCTTAATAATTGTGTAAAATGTCCCAAGACCCCAAAAGTAATGTTAGATTATAAATAACTCCTGATGGAAAGTACCTCTCAGTAATTACATTACTCCCATTAAAACCCTCTGTGTCTTCAAATCTGGACTTATAGCTATACGCAGGACTGGTATTAGAAATATATTCCAGTTTGAAATAACAATAATGTGCGCTTTACCCCTTCAAACTGTGTCCAATTTATATCATCTTCATGTTAAACTTTCGTGCTCCTCCTTGACCCCCACTGGCAGCAGGACCATCTACCTTTCTGAATGAATACTCTACTGAGAAATTGTTCTTGTGTTGACCTCGTCCTCGGCTCCACACAAACAAGAGAATGAAACAGAAAAGCACAACACCCAAAAACATAATACAACCCATTGCTGTGGACACCAGGATGGTCTTGAGATCCAATGTGAACTTCAGGAAGACACGTGTGTCATTTAAGTTAGTGTCATTGAGATCACCCACGTAGTAGGTGCGATTCGCTGCCAGAGAACCATCCAGTGGCAATCCACTGACTGTCAGGGTGGCAAAGTAGGTATCGTTGCCACCAGCATTGCTTGCTATGCAGATGTAAGTGCCGCTGTCTGTTACCTGGGCGTAACGGATCTCCAACGTACCTTCAGGCAGGACAATGATTCTCCCAGTACTCTTGGTGGTGATACGTCGGCGCTGAGGTGAAATCCAAAAGATGACTGGAGTTGGGTCTCCATCTGCTCTACATACAAACGATACTACCTGGCCTTCACGTGCCGTCATCTGTTGCAGCTTGCGGTTACGAATTTTGGGCCGCTGACAAGTGAAATGGTCAAAGAGTGCAGAGTCCGAAAAGATACTAAGTGCTTTTCCTCGCACTTCCAAGGGTGTAGCGCAAACGGGCGACTTTCCATTGAAGTTGAGGGTCTTACGGCGCTGCAGGATCCACAGTAGGCGGCAGTCACAGGACAAAGGGTTCCCATCTACACGTAACGTCTCCAGTGTATTGACTGAGTGGAAGGATCCCTCCTCCAAGGTCACCAACCCATTGTTCGACAAGTTGAGCAACCGTATCTGTTGCAGGCCTCCAAGACCATAGGGCTGCACTGATATCAAGTTGGTACCAACTAGGTGCAGTTCTTTCAAGCGGACAAGGTCCCTCAAGGCCCAGGACTCGAGAACCGAGATGGGGTTGTAAGACAGATTGAGGCTAGCCAAGTGAATTAGGTTGCGAAGAGCACCCGTAGGCACGGTGGAAATGTTGGTATTGGTAATCGAGAGCCAAGACAGGTTGAGACCTTGGAAGCTGTGCGGAGAGATGTACTCAAGGAAGGGCCAATGGTCAATCTCAAGAGCCCGCAGTCCACCCAGTTTGCGAAAGTTCTGCTCTTCCAGGGAAGAGATACTGAGGTAGCGTAATCGAAGAGTCACCAAGCCTCGAAGGTAGGAAAGAGATTGTCCAGTTATAGAAGTCAGATTGCACCTCTCGATGGTTAGCTCCCGGAGTCCCACCAATCCCAGGAAAGCCTTGTTTGAAATGTACACCAGGTCATTATCACCAACTTCTAAATTGCGGAGGTTCCTCAAATCCTGGAAGGTGAAGTCTAACAGAATGACCAGTTTATTCCCACTTAGGTCCAGAGTGGTGAGGTTGGTGAGACGTGAAAAGGCACCCATGGGCACGAGTTTAAGCTGGTTGGCTCGCAGACGCAACACTCTAAGATTAAGCAAGCTGGAGAAGGCATTAGGCTCCAATACGCTGATGAGATTCTCACTCAAGTCTAGCTCCTCAAGTCTCGAGAGAGTCGCCAATTCATTGTATTCCACCCAGCGTAAACTGTTGCAGCTCAGATCCAGGAGCTGTGTGTCAGCCGGGATGCCCCCAGGAATAGATCCCAGGCGCTTGTTCTGGCACATCACAGCTCTCTGATGAGAGATGCAGTCACAGCGCTGTGGGCAGCTCTGACCATGTGTTATGGATGCAGCGGTCAGGAGCACAAGCAGCCCCGGTAAGCTCAGGCATGGACAACCCGCCATGCCCCTTCCCTACCTTACAGGGGCTGAATCACTGCACCTCACACCTAGAGACAAAAACACAAAAAAACAGGTATTGATGAATCATGATTTTTGCAACTCTCAACTATAACCACTTCTGAGGTAGCGTAAAAAAAAAAGTCTACCCATTACTCACCAACATTTATGTACGAGCATATATAACTATTTCTAAAGTTGTTTTAAAAAACATAGGCCATAAAAAAGTTTGCAACACATTTTCAGACAATTTCTTGCAGTCTTTACAAGCAGTAAAACTGCTATTTTAATTAATTGAAACTCCAAACAAAACACAAATAAGGCTCAGCACTACTTTGTGTATTTCTGCTTTTCTATAACCACCACTGTCAGGAAGTGAATTTGCATTTTCATTGTGTTCATCATCTAACATTGTGTTTGCATATTTCTGAACAGACAAGTTGATGATGATATTGCACCAAATTTCATGGCCAACTTTGTCTTGGTGAGAACAGGCCTTTAAACTGTAAGATTAAGCCACTGAAACGTCAAGTGGTTGAGTTTAAATGCAATATGAAACAGAAACTTGATAGACATTTTCAGTGAAAATCGTTATGGTAAAAATAAAAGGAGAACAAGTATGTCATGAGCACTTTACACATGAACATTAAATCTCAGATGGCTTAACCCCCTCTTTAAGATCATGACTTATTTTTTCATCTTTATAAGCCACAAAATAAATGTACTGAATGGCTTCAAAGTCACTATGATTATGCCGATTTCTGTTTGTTAGCATTTCAATAAAAATACATAAAAGATAAATATTTTAATGTCAACTTGATAATCTCAATCGAAGACATCCCAGTCAGTGCATTTTTAATCAAATCTTGAACATTTAGACCCACACTGGTGCTAAAGCTTAACATAATGAGACTCACCTTGGGTTCAGAAGTGTATTAGTCCAATCTCTCAGTACCAGGATATTATTGAACATTTAACCGTGGTATTTCAAGATGTTCCCCTGCACAACTCTTCTTCTCCCTCCCCCATCATCTCTGGTAACCCAAACACATGAACAGCCCCTGGTTCAAACCCATATCAGTTGACACTAAAAAGCTGTCCAATCAGCATAGACAACTGCTTCAAACAATCAGCAGTAACGTGAGTGAGGTGAATAGAAAACTACACCTGACTATGACTCAGGTTTCATGGGTCAGTATATCAGAAAATCATGAATACTAATATTATAGGCAACGATTAACACCCTGCCACTTTTCTTTCCACCCCCAACGTCTCTCTCCCCCTCAGAGATGTCAACAAACCATATTTCAACAGCTTATTAAATTTAATTGTCTTCAGGAAAGTGCTCCCATATGAATTCATATGTCATGCTGACGTGAATTAACTCCAGATTGCTGGAAGAAAGGTACTCCAACTATATCATTGCATAGTTTTAAAACATATATTTAAAAATATATTGCCCCCTGAAAGGATCTTTTAACCCTTCATGTTATGTTCGGGTCATTTTGATTTTCTTTTTCCCGAAAATACTAGTTAATGTTATCGCATTGGACTCAAACTTAGTGACTTTGTTTGCAAAGAGTCAACTACTGCTCAAATGTTTTTTGACAATTTGCGTACTTTTTAAGGGGGGGGGGGGGGGTCTTGTCACCTTGTTACCGGTAAAAAATGACTGGTTTTATATTTCTATTTGCATCTGATTCATCGTAGCCCTCATTTATCTGAGTGTAGGCATCTACATTTTTGAGTTAAAAAAACATTATTTTTTAATAATTTTGGAAATATTAAATAAAATATGAAGAAAATTGGCACTGTTGATCACACTAGTCTACTTTAATTTTTCATCAGGAAGTTTGTTTTGAAAAACTTTTATTTTGTACAAAATGGCACAGTCACACTTGTGGTGTTCCCGGTCAAAAATGACCAGCCTAAAAAAATAGCTAATAAATCACTTGTTATTCTATTTTATCACCCAATATTTCATTCAATCTTTTTGTCAACTTGTTCTCTTTCAATTAGGACTGGTTTTGTATTTCTTTTGACTGGGAACATCAAAAGTGTTATAGGGTTTTGAACACCACACAAGGGTTAAACCAAAATAAATCTTTTACACCAAAATGTACATTCGGTCAACATTTACTCACTCTCATGTCATTCCAAACCTGTATGACTTTATTTTCTTCTGGAGAACACAAAAGATGATATTTTTGAAGAAAGTTTCTTGTCCATACAATCAACATTAATAGAGCCCAAAACCAACATTGGACCCCATTGACTTTCATTGTATGGACAAAAAAAAAAACAGAAGTCAGTCGTACAGGTTTAGAATGACATGAGGGGGAGTAAAAATGAATCTGTAATGATTTTGAAATACATTTTAGTTCCAATTTCAGCTTCATCTGCAATGGAATTTAAATGGATCTGGCCTCGACCTGATATTGTCAGGAGTAAATGAGAGACATTGCTACCTCTTTGCTCTGTTGTTCACCTCAGCAAGGTAGCATGTCACCTGAGAATTACATAACAGCTGTTAGTCGATACGTGAAGGGCAAATCAAGCAATTAGTGTTTTTCCCCATAACAGCTGTTGAGAGGCTAGTTAATACATAAAATATCGATACAAGAGAACATCAATTTCTAACTAAAAATAAAACTATTAAAAAAAATGTGTTAATTGAAATAAAGCTGAAATAAAATATAAATATTAGACAAGAAACTATTCAAATGAAAACTGATCAAATAAAACAAAAGCTAATTAAAAATATTAAAAATACTATAATAGTAAATAAATAATGCTAAAATAACACTAGTTTGATATTTTGTTATCAAATGCAATGATAAATTAAGTCTCTTTATGCAACCATAAGAATCCTTAAATTAACGCATTGTGTGGAACCATACTATTTAGAGCAAGACGAAGTGAAAAGGAAATGAAAAACTTCTGAATTTTTGAAGGAGTCCTTGTTTTTTAGTGGGAAAAGCATGTAACTAGGTGGTGCTTGATGTTCCTGTTGAATTCAGGATATAAACAAGACCAGGTTTAATGATGAGAAAGAAAAAATAGCAGCATAAGCGCAGGCTGAAATCGCACAAACATCAGAGACAAAAGTCTATCTGGGATGGGGGAAAAAACTATTAAACAGATGATACGGACCGGGAGCAATTAAGGCAACCTAGTACCTTAATTAGAGAGAAAGCACATAAAAAGGAATAATGAACGCACACACTGGAAGGGGGAAAAAAACTCTGGGGAGGTGCGAGAACTCATGGAGGGGCCGTAAGCTGAGGGGAAGTGTGTGGAGGCGTCAACTTTCCCATATATCACCACTGGGTCTGCACTAGTTTAGTGCTGCTGATGGCACTCTTCAACTCACATCGATTTCAAATGCTGCCCACACATCTCTTTACATAACCGTACATATCCTCCTCATTCTGTCTCTCGCTGATCCGCAAGCCCATCTATCATCTGCAGCTCGGGGGAAACCTTACAGTGGCCAGTGAGGAGACAGTCAGTCGAGATGAAGCGGAGCGAGGATGAGGAAGGGGCAAATGACAGATGCTCAGGGTGAATGTGGACTCCCTGGAGGGGCCGTCTCAAGGGGAAGACGTACTTCAAAGAGGCAACTGTACCCTTGGCCAAACAAAAGCTGACAACGGCATCAGTGTGTTAGCTGGAGAAAAGAAGCCAACTGAGACCAGGGATGTTAGTGGATTCAGCAGCCGTTTGGGAGTTCAAGGAGATGACAAACTAGGAAAAGCGTGTGAAAAGCAAACAATTACGGCTTTAATCATTTTGAGCACAAAATGACTCGTCATTCCAAACCTGAACAACTTTGGTTCTTCTGTGGAACACAGAAGATGATATTTTGAAAAATGTTTTTTTTTTGTTCATTCAATGAAAGTCAATGGGGACCAAATGTTGTTGTTATTTTGGACCCCGTTGACTTATATTGTGTCGACAAAAACATTATTCAAATGATCTTTTATGTTCCACAGAAGAAATAGCCATACAGGTTTGGAAAGACAAGAGTATTAGTTAATTATAAAGATACAGATCAGAAAGTAATCGAAAATTTAACAGCAGTTGAAAATGAAAGACTTTATGGGTCACGTTTCAACACGGCCCTGGAAACCGATCCCGACACTGAAAAAAAGTCAGTACCACCCAAAAATCCCAACTCAGTTGAGGCTGATGTTTGGAAAGCATGTTTAAACCAAATTTACGCTCTAAAACTACAAATAGTTTAGTTGTAAATAAAACCGAAATCACGATATGACTGGCTGTTGTTAAAATAAATAAATATATGCACTGCATGTTTCAGTTTGAACAAGATTATGAACATGAATAAAATCATATCACCTTTAACAAAGGAAGGTTAAAAGCATTCATGAAACTTCACCTGATCTGGTTCATGAACAGACATGCTAATCAGCTAAAAGCTAATGAGCGATGACAAGCTATTGTAGAAGCAGCGCAGAACAATCACACACACAACTCTAGAGGGGATAGAATATCAATTGTGTTTCAGGGAAGAAAGACAATGGTTCACCGCAAACTGGGAACATGACTTGTTTAACATGCATATTTAATCCAGGTGAGAATAGAAAGGCCACAATGCTACCATTGATTGGCATTGCTCAGTTTCCTGATGGGATGAATTATTTAGATTATCATGGTCTATGAACATGACCTACCAGAACAAAGACTCTGACTACGGCTCCTTGATGGATCTCCTCCAACAAGAATAGTGAGGTAAAGACTTGAACATGCGCTCTTTTATTGGCTCACAATCCTGTGAATAAATTGATGTATGCTCTACCTGACAGCTGCTTGGCAAGGCGCTTAATGCTGGTTTTATCTTGGCTCATTGAAGTCGGGTTAGATGACCTGATCCTTGGCTCCAGCTAAGATGTAGGAGCTAGATAATTAGGTCAAACAATTGGATGAAATGTGGGAATCAAGACAGCAGAGCGTAAACGGACAATCATTGCTGGCATCATCTTCATAGTGTTGTTTTCAGTGAGCAAAACATTCTGAAAGTGTTAGCGTA